GAAGCAGAATCAGACAACTTACCATGGCAACTGATAGAGGAAGTCTTATCATTCATTGATCTCAAGGAGATGTCTAAAGTTGTTAAAACTCCTGAAATTATTCTTCACAATCACTCTCATCGTTTCGATTTTAGAAAATTACTTCTAAATAATTGTTCCCTCTCCGTACACTTCATTCGTTGTCACGGTCTAGCTTTGAAGAAATGTTGGGATTTGATATCTTCAAAAATAAATCTCTCCGAAGCTGAGATGGAGGAGCTCGCTCTCACGTTAGATTGGAAATTGCTCTCTCGATATCACAAAATGTCTGAACCATTCATCAGAAAATTCAGACTTCGTGTCGAGTGGGTTCGTGTAAGGAAATAGCAAAATGTATCACTTAAATTTCTTCTAGAAAACGCTCCAAAACAAGAATGATGTGGAAAAATAACAGATGATGTGATTAAATAACATCAAGTGGAATAGGTCTCCTGAGGATACTAGCATCCTCCAATTCCACCACCTCCTGCTCTTTACTTGCCTTTCCTTGTCTTTTCTCCATTTATAGGTCTTCTACTTCGATACCAATTCAAATTACTTGACGAAGCTACTTTTATCCAGTTTTCTCCCAGAACCTTACCCGTGTACGCGATGGTCGTCATCGCACATGGGTCCAATTTCAAAATTTTGTGGATTTTCAAAAGTTATATAACACTCAAAATTGGGGGGAGAAGGGTCCCTTGTACTCAATAGGGTACTTTAGCACCTTCTAAGCCCTTTTGCCTCAAGCGTTTGCCCCTAAAACAAAAATTTTGGTATCTACAAAAATTAGCAGCGCTCGTTCTTTTCCTATGAAAATATACTATTGACGTCATTTGTATAGGTTCAGCGTGACGTATTTAAGCTTTTTCCTTTAAGGTACGTTTGTGACTTATGTCTTTCTTCGAAGGTGTAATTAAATATCGTAAGATTTACAGTTTCTTTAGCTGTTTACTGGATGTGAACCCTGCTGTAGAGATCCGTATAAGATTCAAAAGAAGAGAATTTTAATGAATTTTTTTCGTTAAAAATATGATGACTCTTATGGTTCCCTTCCTGTATAATTGTGTGGCTCAAATATTTACTTCCTTAAGAATTATTGTCTCCTTTCGTGTGTAATATCGATTTAATAAAAAATTCTAACATAAAGTGGATTGGGAAAATATTGTTAAATATCAAAACGTGTCGAATGACTTCATCCTCGAAAATTGTCTAAGGATAAAAGGAGTGTCCTCTTCCGGTTTTTT